TTTGTGATTGGTTGGTTTGCTGAGAAAAAATAATTTACAGATTTCTTTGAATGGGAGTACAAAAGCTTTCAGAAAAAGAGTGCAATATAAAATCTATTATTATTGAATTAAAACTAACTAATTTTTGGAGAATTCTATAAAGTTAAAAATACAAAAACACTTTGTTAAAATAGAAAAAAATTACCACCAAAGCATCAGAACAAATTTGAGCCATAAATGGATTCAGCCCAAGGACAGAATTTAAAAACAAAAGCTAACATCCTAATCCCTTCCACCTCCACAACAATCTTTTCTAAATTGCACAGTCCCATAGCAGTCAAAGGTTTCTACATTCGTTTAGCAACTGTGAGAGAATTTTACGTGGCATTCTATTTTAACAGAGCTCTAATGGAGCAAATTTTTATGCAAGCAAAGTATCGCTAAGTTGATGATATTTCAATTGTTTGGCGATACATTTCCGTCTAAAAAAAAGTGGGCATAATGGATGAAATAATTTAAATTAGTGAGATTAAAAAAATTATCAAAGGAAAAATTTCCAGCTTTTCTTTAAAATTCCCTGATTTTTCCAGGTTTTCTCCAGTATAAAAAAATTCCCTGATAATTCCAGGTTTTCCAGGAGGGTGGCCACCCTGTTTTTATTAAATAATTACAATTTTTTTCTCCCATATTATAAAACTAAAATTTATTAATTCAGGGTGCATAGCCAAATCTTTGAATCAAAAATAAGCACTTTTTAAAAACTTTTCAAGCACTTTACAAAAATTTTCAAGCACTCAAAAAATTCATATTCAAACAATGATATTATTGAAAAACAAAAACTTTTTATAAACAGTTTTAGCGTTAAAAAAAAAAAAGAAACGGCGTAAATCGAAACAATCAGTACTTTCCCACATCACCAAGTGAATTCAACTTGACCCTTACCCCCTACGTCAAAAAAAAAGAGTTAGAAGTAAAATAAAATAAACAAGAACAAAATTAAAATGAAAAAGATTTCACAAGGATCTGATATTCTCTATCCGAATTGGAGCACTCTGGTTTCGGTTTCAAGAGTGCGCGCATGCGCAAGTCATAAGGTGGGTACGACATGAAGTTCGCGTGAATGATTACGTAGCAAACTCCCCATTTTTCGTGAAATGCATGGGATCCACCAGATATCACGGAAAGGAAGAAAAAAATTATTCAGAAAAAAAGCACTTTTTAAAAACGCCAGCTGAAAAAAGCACCTTTAAGTACTTTTTACAAACGCTACGCACCCTGTAATTGAATTTTATTAATGAATTATTATCTGAAAAAAAAAAAAAAAAAACTGTATTAACACCAATTATCCTGAACTACAAGTTTAAAAAAATATATATGAACTTGAATGGATGAATAAGAACGATTTGAACAAGATAACAGGGAGAACTAATAGTAGGAATTGAAGAACGTGTGGTATCAGACAACTATGAAAGTATAAATTTTGAGACCTACCACGTCATGTTCTTTATTGAATTTATCTGACACGGTCAATATAAAATATTTAAATGTACGCACTAAACTATTCTTTTATTAAAATAGAGCGATAATTTAGAAATTATCACTGATGTTATCTTTAAAATATGCGAAAAACTGAATCGCTTATAGTAAAATCTTAAACACTGACTAACGCTCAACCCATCAGAAAATTGCATTTTCTTTTCTGCTCATCTCTATTTAATGAATGAATTATATTTGAAAAAAGTCTTGTAAAAGTAGGTTGAAAAAATCACTAATTTTAATTTTAACTGTGCAAGGTATGTTAACAACAATGTAAATAAAACTAATATTTTCCTTAAATTTAATAATTTTAAAAAACCTGGAATAAGAAAAATAATAGTTTTATTTATTGCCTGCATAAAATTAAATGATCCTTTTGTACAGTTCTTACGATCTATTATATTTGATGTTTCAAAGCAGACAATATTATCAGATGTACCTTTTACTTGCATCATTTGGTGGAAAAGCTAACAGTGAACAAGAAAAAGCATATGTCCCTGGTTGTAGCATTAAAGATGAGCCAAATTTATGAAATTTTTTCTTCTTATGAATTCAAGAATACATTTTTATGTTTTTTTAATATCCCCTCTCCAGTTTTCATTTGTCAATTAAAGGCCCAATAACGGTTACGGTTTGGTTTACTGCTAACGGTTTGTATCCCATTTACCTAACAATTGATTAGGATGTGTGTTATTGTGGTACTTTGCTATGCAAGTAGGTTTATTATCTCTTTAAAAAAATTTTTTTCTTTACTCAAAATAATACATAAAAAACTACAGAATGTTTTGAATTTTTTCTTCTTCTAAATACATACATTTTTCAAGCTCTAAGCAAAATGATTGATTTAAAATATTCTAAATTGAGTTAAATTGTTTCTCAAAAAATTGAAACTAAGTTGCTTACCTCACATAAATAAACAAAATAAAAGTAAAATATAAAAATATTTATAAAAACTTCATTGATCAATTTTAAGTCTAATATAAATAACTTAAAGTACAGCATAGTTAAACAAATTTTATTAGGTTACTGAAGTGAAATATATTATTGTAAATTAACCTAAAGGAACATAAAGATGGATTCTATTCATATTTCATTTCATAAAGAAAAAGCAAAACTAGAGAAATAAATAAATAAAAACAAATGTAAGAAAAAGAAAAGCAGTCGTGTCTGATGTAAAAACAATTAATTATTAATTGACAATATTATAAAAATACTTATTATTATCAAAATTTTGTTTTAAACAGAAAAAATAATTTAATTATGTTAAATCTTAGTTGCACAGTACGATTAATTATGTATCTTTGTATCGGACTTAAAATATCAGTAAGTGCAGGAGAATTTGTTTTTGTAAATCAAAATGTGAAATGTTTCGACACATTTGCGCCTGTTAATAACCTATTTTGTTACAATTCACTTCAATTATTATTTCGTCCATTTCCCATTATTAGTGTGAATTTTTTTTTTTTTAAAAAAAACTTTACTTTGTTAGAGATTCACTCACCATAGTTAAAAATTTCAAATTTTGTTGCCTTTCATTTAATAGTCTGAAACTTAATGAAAACTGATATTAAGGTATAAGTCATTATTTCTAAATCTTCAATTTTTTTACCTTTAAAATGATACCTTATTTGCTTAATATTAAATTTAAAATTTTGGTCATCTGGTTGCCAAGCTTGAAACCTGTACCTGCACAGTGCAGAACAAAAATAGAAGGTTTCATTTTCCTTCTTTCTAATAAACAAATATAATTAATAAAAATTTATATTCTAAGTTTCTTTGCTTTTTGTTAGCTTTTTAGGGTAAAAGGAGAAACAGTTTCGGATATATCTCCGGAATATCTCTCTATCAAAACATTTACGAACTTTCGACATTGTGATAAATACACAATTCGAATTTTGAATCAAAAATCAAATATTTACCAACAGAAACATTTAATGTTATAATCTAGCTCACAAAAGAACCTTTTTCCTTTTAATAAAATATGCTATAGAAGGTTAAATTGAAATTAAGAAAATTAGCATCAATGCAACAATTGAAACGATTCTGCTATTAGTGATTCAAGAAAATGAGCGATTTGTTGGCTTTGCTGAGAAAAAATAATTCATTGGATGAGAAGACAAAAGCTTTCGGAAGAAGAGTGCAAGAGAAAATCTATTATTAAATTATAACCAACTAGTTTTTGGAAAGTTAAAAACACTAAAACATTTTGTTAAAAGAAAAAAATACCCTCAAAGCGTTGGAGCAAACTTGAATGAACTGAACCAGGGGAGCACAAATATCCTAAACCCTTCTTCCACCTCTATTACAATTTTTGCCTTTCCTAAACTGCTTAATCTCCAAAGCGGTCTTCGCCATTCATTTAGCAACATGGGAGAGTTTCATATGGCATTCTAGTTTAGCAGGGAAAGAATTATAATGTAAGAGAAGTATTACTAAGTTGATGATATTTCAACTGTTTGACAATTAATTTCAAGCTACATAAAGAGGATATAACAGATGGTAAAATAATTCAAATTANTTTAACTTAATATTTTGGAGAATTTTTTTTTGAATTACAAAATTCTTAATATCAATAAATGTAAGAAATTTTCCTTAATGGAAATAGTTAGTGTGAATCATCATTTTAAAATTTGTGCTCGCAGAATACTTACAAAATGAGAATCGTGAAATCGCCACTCGGTCTCTGCAATGATATGTCTGTCATTGGGACATTGTTCAAGAACATTCCATAAGAACCATTTTGAGTTATGTAAGAATCAGAAATCAGCACTTCAGTGAAGCTTTCAGTTGAATATTCACCTTCTGCGTCTACATGCAGTCCATACCTTTCATTGCGCTCAATATTTGAAGACTGTAAGTGTAACGAACTTAAAGATTTCATTTGGATACCATCTTTCTACAAATGAAAGATGCTATTAGAAATCAGAACATAATTGAAAGAAAAAAAAAGATTATGCAGAGAAAATGAAAATGATAAAATTAAAACTCATCAATTCTCACAACACCCATTCAGAAATTAAAGAATGTAAATTTGAGAGGTAGTTGACAATTTCGTTTACTTGGGCTCTGTAATCAACAAGAGGAACAATATTACAATGGAAATATAAAGAATTACTATAGTCAATAAATGTTTTTACGAATCTACTGTAATTCATAGAAGTTTCATTATGTAAAACTCTTCTAAGATCAATTTTATCATATGCTTGTGAAACCTCTCTTGTACGGATGTTGGGTACCTTTAAGAGAAAAGGTATTGACAAGTATTTTTAGAAAAAAAATGTTGTGTGGCTTAGAAGACCAAGTCTAGAGATTTATCACTTTTTATATAATTAACCTGACATTATTAAACGACAAAGAATAAAATGGGCAGGCCACGTTATCAGAATGGACGAAGACCGTACCACAACAAGAGAGTTTTCAATGCCAGACCAGTTGGCACACCAAAAAGAGGCAGGCCGAATTTGAGATGGGTAGATGGTTTAGAAAAGACTTCCTGAGAAGGCCAAGGGCCACCCTGGGCTGTTGAGCTATTGATGATGATGAAATCTCTCAAGCCATTTATTAAATCAGGAAAATCCATTAAATTAAAATTCATTAATTCATTCATTAAATCATGAAAATTCACAAATTAAAATGAAAATTTCGGAACCACCTTCTGCCTCATTAAAAAGTACCCGCTCTACTATACACTAGGACAAACTTCACACTATATTACCTAAATGTCTACCTCAGGGGTGACTGTGACACAAAGTAAAAAAACTCCCGAAAATTTTGTGCAAAAATCTATAGCAATTTATATACCATATAAATTTGCCACATTGGATTTTTAAATTATGTGAATACAAATCGCAATGTGTAAATTCTAAATTAGGTTAATACGGAAATCGACGTTTGACATTCAAATAGTGCAAATAGAAATCGCGATATTAGCGGATTCCGACGCAGTTCCAAACATTCAAAATGGTAAAATTAAGTCAATTTTAAACCACCTGAATACAATTTGCAACACATAACTTTAGGTTGATACTAAAATCAATGTCTGATAGTTTAACCGTGCGAATAGGAATCACAATATTAGCGAATTCCGGTGCAGTTTAAAACGGCAAAAATCTGCCACACCAAAAGAATCCCGAGTATGTTAGTGAGAATTAGTGAAGTTTTAAAATTTGAATTTTAGATTGAGAAATTCCGCTAAAATTTCGTCACATTAAAAGTTTTTCATAAGTGGAAGTTTGAGGTTTTCAGGGATGCAGAATTTCACGGATATTTTTAGAAAAATCAAATGCCTACTTTTAAATTTTAGACCAGGAACTATTATACGAAAAATCTAGAGTTCCTCGGAATAGAACCACCTCTGATACTTGTAATTAAGGGGCACAATGTTATTGCAAACAATATCAATACATTATAAATAATGAGGTCGTTATGAACAACTATATTTCTTTCATTCAAAAACTACGTTTAACATATTATATACAGTTAATTTTGCATTTTTTTCACATAAAATTTTCTTTACACATAAAGTTTTTTTCAGAAACAATACTTTAAATTATGTTCAGAAAAAAATTAAGAATAAAAAATGTCAACATCTTTTATTGAAGAGCAATTCAAAATATATAATAAGCATATAAGTAATGAGATAGAAATAGATGACTTTGCATCAATTCACTTTTAAAAACTTATTTTAATGTATTACATACAACTAATTTTGCATTTTCTTTTTATCAAATTTTCATTACATATAAAGTTTCTTTCAGAGACAATGCTTTAAATTAGGTAAAGAAAAGTTATTACGAAAAGTTAAGATTATTTATTACAGAGTATTTCAAAAAATTTCACAAAATGAAAACTTTAAAACACATCTGTTATACTCTGAATCTTCATATATACAGATTTTAAATTTAAAAAAACAGAGTAAAGAAAGAGTTGAAGCAACAATATAGCTGAAAAAAAATACAAAAGCAAAAAGCTTTTTTTTTTCTGCAGAATTATATTCTAAAGATTCTTCTCTTGTTCATCGGAAAGGAATGAAATACTCGTGATTTTTCAGAATATGAAGGAAAAAAATGCCAATGACTGGCTGGCGTCAGCTAGAATTTTAAATTGATAAAATAAAATAAAAAATAAATAATAATAAAAATTCAGAAATCACAGAAGTTTAAAAGATAATTCCCTCAAGAAATTATGTTTTTTCTTTCATTTTTTAAAAGAGCACCATAATTTTTGAAGAACATTTTATATTGTAATAAAATATGACAGTGAGTGGGGATTTTGTTAGAGAAATCCATTTTAAAAAGTAGATTTTTTGGCTACCTAAATCTATGACTTTCCTTGAATTTTTTAAAAAATAGTGAAAATCATGACTTTTTAGGTGTGCATACCCTGCTGGCAATAAATAATAGGATACACAGTATTATACAACATTTTAATCCTATCACCATTAAAACATGTATCCATATCTGCAACATTGGAGAAATAAAATAACGGAGATTTTACCAGTAACATATTTTAGGTGACAAGTTGAGTTTTGATATAACATGCATAATCACTTAAGTCAAAAAGAGAAATTCAAAATTGGAAATATTATAAGCACTTGCAGTTTGCAGGGGTCTTAGGTTTTTATGAGAGGTACCTATTTTGTGATAATTTAGACATAATTTGTGAAAATTAAAAATTATATTAAAAAATCAACACAAAAATATGGTAAAGTTGGAAGATATTTTCAAATTTTGTCACTACAAATAAAAATCATTTATGAGTGGTAAATTTTTATATATTTTTCCCCATATATTCAAAGATAATTTTTCTATATTAAAATATTGGGCTTAAAACTGTATCTAAATTTAAAAATCCATAACAATTATTGTCCATTTTTAAATTTCAACTTGAATTAAAAAAAAAAAACATGCATGCATGCACAGTACTTTTATTAAAAATTATTTTCATTATGAGAACATTTCTCACAGGGTCATATAGAAAAAAGTTTCAGTGAGAAAAAATACTTCATAAAAAAATAAAGGTCAGTTTAAATTTAGAATAATGTTCGAATTTCAACTTCCTGTAAAGTCATTTAATTTTTTGGAAAAAGAAATAACTCTGTGTAGGGTATGTGTTTCAATTTAGATTTTCAAATTCATGACTAATTCCTAGAACTTTTCATGATTTAACAAAGTTTCTATTTTTTCCCGACAAAAACAGAACAATAAATTTGAAAAGCATTATAATAACATTCACTGAAATGCTAGGTATAACCAAAACTGTTATACTCTGCATCTTCATATTTATCGATTTTAAATTTATAAAATAGCTGGAAAAAAAAAAGCAAATAATTTTTTTCCCCAGCAGAATTATATTCTAAAGATACTTTCCTTGTTCATCGGAAAGGAAAGAAATACTCCAGATTTTCTGTTCTCATTTCGGAATAAAAAAAATTCGCCAATGACTGGCTTGCTTTAGTTGGAATTTTAAATTGATAAAATGAAAGAAATAAACAAAAATTTCGAAATCACAGAAGTTTAAAAGATAATATGTTCTAGAAATGATGTTTTTTTCTTTCATTTGTTGAAATAACAGGATAAAAACATCTTATATTTTAATAAAATATGACTGTGAGTGGGGATTTTGTTAGAAATTCAGATATTCGGAGCACCATGACATTAGGGGGGGGGGAGGATTCAATTTTAAAAATTAGACCAATTTGGCGACCTAAATCCATGACTTTTTTTTTTAAAAAAATAGTTAAAGTCACGACATTTCATGACTAATTTTGTTCAATATCGAAATTCATGACTTTCCAGGTGCGTGGATATCCTGTCTGTGAAAAAAAAAAGCTTGCTATAATATAGCGCGACCGACTGGTTAGGCTTACCACACTGCACTGACCAAGTATGTGTACCTATTCGTATATGCTTAATTAACCTAGGATTTATTTTTTCTTACGGGGTTACAACGACAAAAATTTAAGAAGCGGGGAGGAGAATTTTAGAACTTGCTTTTTTAAACGCATTTTGTGAAACTACCGTTTTTCCTTAAGTTGAATTTGTGAAGGTACTGCTAAACAGTATTAAATTTGCCCAGGACAGACCCCTGGTTTCTGAAGTAAAAAATATGCATATAATTCTTAATCTCTAAATTAGATTTCTTTTAAAGCATTATTTATAATTACTTAAAATATAAACACTCAAAATAGCACCATCTGATGAGAAATAAGAAGTATTTTTGCTATCATCAATGATTTTATTGGCAAAAATTTCTTCACCAAATACAGAGAAATTTGAGAACCCTAATTTTTTCGGGCTTCTTGCGAGTTGCTTCACTAATACTAACATTTTTCTTACATAGACGATATTTTTAAAAATAACAAATATACATGTTACTAATTTAAAGTAACAGAAGCATCAACTTCAAAAAAATAATAATAAAAAACAGGGTGGCTAATTTCCCTGATTTTTCCAATAAAAATCTTAAAATTTCCAGGTCAGCATGTTTTTTCCCCCCCTTATGAAGTGGGTACAAGAAAAGTGTCAATATTATAAAGTATTTTACTTAAAATGCTATTTATGCAATATATCATTGAATAGATGCGGAAAAAATAATATGTTTAGCTTGTAGAATATATTGCTTTTAAGGAATTTTTTTTTTAAAGAGTTAAGTAGGTAATTTTTGCTCAAAATAGCAAATACAGACCCCCCAAAAAAACTTGGATAAGCAGTGTTTAATGTATTTTAAAAATAAAATAATTGCAGGTGATTATACATCAATAATTTTCTTTATTTATTTACATTTCAATTTAGAGCTATTTTATACTGTATTTTATCCAAACAGTGCTCTTTATAAAATTCATTGATATAATTTCCTTTAAACCAGTATCTAGTTATATGTTTAAATCATGTTGTTTGTTTTGTATTAGCACTATTATTTTAAGAGACATTCAGTATTCGCAAAGGCAAAAATTGTCAAATTTCTTGTGGCATATTTTATAGAAAAAAACAAGATAAAATTCTTTAAATTTTATTCCCTTTTGTTTTGTTCTTATTTTTCTTATTAGAAATTAGAATATTTAAAGAATTCCAATCTAACTACATGGTTTCTTAGTTTAGATTAGGTAATTGATTTTATAACTGGGAAATAAATTACAGGGTGTCGGACATAAAAAATTAACATAAATTTCTTAGAAAATTTATGCTATAAAACATAAGTTTAATTTTTATATTAAATATTTAGTACATCATAACCTATTGAAAACAATTTGTTTAATAAAAACTGATTATAATAAAATCAAATTAAATGGTTTAAATTGTTGGATGTAAATCGCACGAAAGCAAAAAATGATTACTCACTTACAAACTGTCTTAAACTCTGTGAATTTGTTTGTAAATGCATTTTGAAGCTGACATTTAAATAAAAAATTCTATGCAGTTCTTAACTTGTAAAACATGATCAACAATTAATTTGAAATCTTTTACTTCAGTTTCAGACAGTGTCAAATCAGATTTTTTCACTTCAGTGTTATTTTTTAAGCTGGATATAAATTTAGGTTAATGATAGTAACCATTACTAGTGGGCTGCACCCCCTGCTCGCTAACGCTCATCAACCCCGCTTCGCTCGCTACTAACTTAGGTCCATTGCAAATGCACAAAATTCTAAGAATTCAAAGCAAGCATTCAAATCCATATAACAACTTTAAAAATAAAAAAAAAATTACATCTTTTTAGTAAATACTAAGTCATTAAAATAAATTTGAATTCATATAAATGACATGTAATTCGTTAAACCTATTACAAATGTGCTATAGTAAAAAATCTTAAGATAAAATTTCTAAAACTGATATCTCCTTAAAAAGGTTAAAATTTTGGTTATAATTAAGCCTATTAAAAATTGAAATAAGTGAATTGCAATGGGAAAACCTGCATAAACAAAACACTATGTTTTTAAAAAATAATAACCATGAACGATTCACAACTTTGTTAAAAACATAAGTATAAGTGACAGAGTAAATGCTTTAGCAAATCAGGAATGATAGTTAAATCTTCCAACTTGATTTTTCCATCATGGCAGCATTTGTTAGATTTCCCAGAGGAATTTTTTTCTTCTGCCCAGAAGTGAGCAACACAAAAACTATTAAAATTTTGGTCATGGAACCGATGTTGTGTTCGACAACATCAATAGTTAAATCTTGAATGACAGCACGTCGTCTACGCATTCTTTCACCAGTACGTCTTTCATAGTAACAGCACGACTGAGACTCATTTTTCAATGATTAACTAATAACAATAATAAAACAAATAAATTCGTGATATAAATAAAAAATCGTCAAATAAATTCGTAAAGTATAAATTCGTGAAGAAAAAAAACAAACACTTTCAACAAAATACTAAAATAGAGATCTATCGACAAAGACTGTATGCTCTCTCTGGTTATTTCAGTTTCCGCTTTTAAAAGCGCTATATGTTGAGCCACCTCAGTAGATTTGGCATGTGACATTTTTAGCGGCAATCATCGGTCGATTTTCTAGCATTGCCATTCGCGGAGTTGTAATGAGGCTTTTTTTTGTCGCCGTGTAAGAGAAATATATATATAGATAATTACTGAAAATTACTTTAATTTTAATCTTAACACTATAAACATTATTTTTCACTTAAATAGCTTCTTTATATTTAAATTGTTTTCCATTTCCTGTTAGAATGAATGGATCAATGAGTTTTATAAAAAATTTTATCTTAAGGAAATCCGAAAATAAAAAAAAACTGCCACCGAAATGTTTTTTTGAAAAATAGGGGGGGGGGAGCAGAAATTTTTTATTATTTTTATATATATATAAAACAATCTATTGAAAAAAAAATTTCACTGTACATTCAAACGAAAAAGAAAGCAACAACAATTCTTTAATTGCACAGGTAAAATGATAATTTAATAGTATTATTTATTGCCTGCATAAAATTAAATAAGCGTTTTTTACAGTTTTTACAATCTATTGTACTTGATGTTTCAAAGCAGACGACATTAATCGATATACCATTTACTTAAATTTAGTGGCACAGCTAACAGTGAACAAAAAAGAGCATATGTCCCTGGTTGTAGTATTAGAGATGCATCAAATTTACGAAGAAAAAAATTTATATAAATTCCAATAATTTATATAAAATATTAAAAAATTTATATAATTTACAGTTTCAGTTGCCAATTATAGGCCACGACTAGCTATTTTTATCCCATTTACTTAAAAATTGAATAGGATGTGTTATTTGTTGCAGTTTGTTGTGCAATTAGTTTCATTATTTTTTTCCTAACTCAAAAAATAAATAACTACAGAACGTTCTGATTTTTTTTTTTAAATCCATACATTTTTCAAGCTCTAAGAAAAATGATTGATTTAAAATGTCCTAAATGAAGTTAAATTGTTTCTCCTTAAAAACTTAAAACTGAGTAATTTTCCTCATACAAATAAATAAAATGAAAAATAAAACAATATAAAAACTTCATTGATCAATTTTAAGTTATAATATAAATAACTTAAAAAACAGTACAGTTAAACAAATTATATTAGTTTATACAAATTATATTAGTTAGTAAACATTATTGTAAATTAACCAATATTTAGAAGGTTTCTATCCATATTTCCCTTCATTTAATGAAGAAAAAACAAAATAAGAGATGAGAACAAAAATATATGTAATGAAAAGAAAGGCACTGACATAAAACTAATTAATTATAATTTTACAATAAAAATAACACTTCACTGTAAAAAAATAAAAAAACTTTAAACAGAAAAATAATTTTATTACAATTAAATTCTAGTGACACAGAGCAATTAATTATGTATTTTGGTGTCACACATAAAACATCAAAAGTGTATCTTGAGAATGATTTGTGTTAATAAATTTGAAATGTCCATTTGTGCAAGATAACCTGTTTTGTTACAGTTCGCCTTTTTTTTCTTAGTTATTATTTTTTTCCATTTTTTATTATTAAAGTGAATTTTTTGTAGAAAAAAAAACTGTACTTAGTTCGAGAGTCACTTACCACGGTTAAAAATTTCAAATGACGTAGCCCTTCATTTAACAGCCTATAACTTATTGAAAACAGATAAATCAAACACCATATTTCTAAATCTTCAATTTTTTACTTTGAAAATGATACCTCATTTACTTAATATTAAGTTTAAAATTTTGGTCATTTGGTTGCCCAACTTAAAACATGTAACTGAACAGTGCAGAAAAAAAAAGTTCTGTTTTCCTTCTTTCTAATAAGTTTATACATCATTTAACATGTTTTCCATACATTCCTTGTTTTTTCCCCAGCTTTTTAAGGTAAAAGGAGAAACAATTTCACAAATATCATCTCTAGAATGTAAGCAACATTTATGAACTTTCGACATTGTGATTAATAAATGAATTTTGAATCAAAAATCAAATATTTACCAAGAAAACAGTAAAATTTAATGCTATATCTAGTTGGTTCATAAAAAAAGCTTCTTTTTTTAAAAAATAAAATATGTTACAAAAGGCTAAAATGAAATCCAGAAAATTAGCATCAATGCACCAATTGTAATGATTTTGCCAGTAACGAGTCAAGGAAATGAGTGATTGGTAGGCTTTGCTAAGAAAAAATAATTCCTTGGATGGGAGAACAAAAGCTTTCAGAAAAAGAGTGCAAGATAAAATCTATTATTAAAATTATAACCAATAAATTTTTGGAGGATTTTATAACGTTAAAAAAAAACCAAAACATTTTGAATCATTTCGTTACCATCAAAAATACTCCCAAAGCATCAGAACAAACTTTAACAATAAAGGAATTCAGCCCACGGATTAGAAGATTAAAAAATCCTAGTTATATATATAAAAAACTAATATCCTAACCCTTTCTTTCACCTCCACCACAATTTTTGCCTTTTTTAAACTGTGTAGTCCCATAATCTCAAAAAAGAGGTCAAAGATTTCTCTATTCATTTAGCAACATGGGAGAGTTTCATATGGCAGTCTAGTTTAGCAGGATAATAATGGTGAGAATTTTAATGCAAGCAAAGTATTGCTAAGTTGATGATATTTCAACTGTTTGACAATAAATTTCCATCTAAATAAAGTGGATATAGCGAATAGTAAAATATTTTAAATTAAGAAAAAAAATTCCAGCCAGCATAAAAAAATTCCCTGATAATTCCAGGTGGGTGGACACTCTGAAAAAATAAACTTTTCAGTTAAAATAATAAAACTTTTTGATTCGAATTCGCAATATTTTTAAAAAAATTCTAATATTATGGCCGATACATTTGCATTTTAGAGGGGGAAAACACACTAATTATTTCCTTTTTCGCATTTTCTAAAGCTTCATCACATTAAAAAAAATCAAGAAATCTGTAGCATTAACTACTGGAAAAACACCAACGGCGAAATCATGCGTGTCGGATTCTTCAAAAAGGGGTTACTAAATATGTGTTTTCATTTTGAGATTCATTTGTTGTAATAAACAATATCGTATTAAAAATATAGGAATTTAAAAACTATGTGCACAATAGTAAAAACTACAAAAAGTAGAACAAAAATTTCTGCAGAAAAGAAAACCAAAATTTTTTACTTCCCAAAGGAAAAATCTTTCTGCAAGAACTGTGCTACGTTCTGCAACAATGTCGCCACGATTCTGCCAGGGGGCTGGAGAATACGCAGGTAAACAGGAGATAGTCGGAAAATACAGGATTCTTTGTTAAAAACCAGGAGACTTGTCAGGTATCCAATTTCAAATAAAACAATGAAAAAGAAATCCAAGTTACCTTAGAATTACAAACAATGGTGTCTTGCAAGACTGCTTCTGCACCTCCCAGCAGCAATATTCCATGATCAGAAGCATTACTGTCAACAATGCATCCTTTCATGTGAAGTTTTCCATGATGGACAACTACAGCGCTCAGCAGATCCTTCTTCACTCTTAATAAGACATTCTCAATTTCTATAATTCTGGTGCAACAGTTTAAGAAGACATCACTGTTGCCTGTTGCTTCAAGCACAATCTCCTTACAATCTCCTCCAACTCCTAAAACGATACAAGGAAAATGTTACATGAATTACCAAATCTTTCAACAAAAAATAAGCACCTTTTAAGTACTCAAAAGATATACATTAACAAAATTATATTCAAAGACTTTACATGATAAAATAAATAGTTTCTGACATAAAGAACTCTTTTCTTGATTACTATTAGCCATTATAAAATGATCAAGAGATTTTTCGGTTCTTTATCAGAGGGTGAAAAATGAAACCTGAAATTGAGAATATCCTGCAAATTACAGCAGGGATGCACATGAGAGTGCAATGATCTCACCGAACCCAGCTCAGTAGTCGCACACGCTGACTCGCGAGTATTTCATCAAACATGTAAAATGATTTGTGCTTTCTTTTGCTATGGATCGACAATACGTCGAAATGGATTGTGGTTGAATGAATTGTGAAAACATTGAATAGAACAATTTGAAAAGCACGTAATACGCAGCGAAAATCGACATACTAAAGAAAAAAATCTCCTTTTCAAAAACACCCAATGAATAAAGCACCTTTAAGGGCTTTTAAAAAACGAAAATAAGTACCTTTAAGCACTTTTTAAAAACGCTAAGCACCATGATTACATTCAGCAACGGATAGTTTTTTTTCACCCTGGAAGAAATAGGTTTACCCGAATTGGATTGGGGACAGGGTTCGTTGATTTAAATTAAACGATTTTTTAAAAAAAATCATAGATTTAAATCAACTGATTTTTTTAAATATATATATATTGATTTTAGAAGTTAAAAAACAGTGTTTTAAATTATTAATACTTTTATTATTTTCTTTTCTTAGTTTTAAAATTTATTTTAAATAAATTGCTGCATTAATTAATTTTAGTTAACGAAATTACATTCTTTCTTAGTGTGTGCTAAATTCCAACACATCTGAAATTTCATTTTTAAAAATCTTTTGATTCTTAAGACTGAAAGTACAGATTGAAGTAAACATTTAATGCTGNTTCTGTCGAATTGAGGTTATATTAAAAAGAAATTACCCTAATATGCCAAAAATAGGAAGAAAAAAAAAGGCTAATTAATTAAGATATTTTTTCCTGATATAGCGTTATTCTTCCCTTTCAAAGTCTATTTGAGGCAGTAGAGTTATTAACTGGTAACAGGTATTTTTTTCTGATAATATGTTTACAGTATCTTTGACATTCTGAGATTTCCTATAAAGAAATTTTGTAAAAAAAATTCCAATGAGGGCATAAATTAAAAAAAATTTTTTTTTAGATGATTTAATTTAACATAGAATTAAAAATGAATATTTTAATATAAAAATATATAGATTAAATATTTATTTATTTTTTGATGAATGACTACATTTATAAGCACAATCTGTTACATTTATTTTGTTATATAAAAGTCAAGCGAAAAAACAACAACATAATTTTAAATTAAAATTATGGTTTGCTAATCGCAACTTTAATTTAATCTGTCCAAGCCAAATTTGCTACTGCTTAGGGTATCTTCACAAATTCAATTTTAGGAAAAACGATCTAAGTTTTATTTTTGTGTTTCGTAAGAAACGAATTAATCCATATTTTTGTGTTGATTTTTTAATATTTTTAATTTTTGCAAATTATGTCTAAATTTTCGCAAAATAAATACCTCTCAGAAAAACCTAGACAGACCCCTTTCATTAAATTCTCCATTTCTTCTAGTCTTTAAATTTTAATTATGCATTTGTTTCAAAATGGTTGCTATGCATTCAAAGCTATGTATTATAATGAAAAATTATATTAGTAAGTCAGAGCTTCTAAAATATTGTTTGAATATTAATTTAATTTTGATTAAACATTTATGAAGTATTTTTAATCATAAATTGCAGTTCTTACAATGTGTTTGAATAAAAAAAATAAAAAAAAACTGATTTAAATAAAAAAAAATTCGATTTAAATCAAAACACTCACGAACCCTGATTGGGGAGACCTTTCTTTCTTTCAAAAAGAAATATCTAATATTAAATCATTTTGTAATAAAATATTGGCGACAGTCTGGGAAACTTCTCTGAGGACATGCCATCAGAATTTTGATCCTCTGCAGAGGGGATGGCTTCATTGCTTCAGTAGCAAAACAACCTATGTGTGAAGTCGAGCACTTCACAATAGAACTTCTTTCAGGGTACACCCTCGGTCCCTTTATAGGCTGACCAAGGTGGTCACTCACCCGCAGTCACTGATGCTTGACTTCGGTATTCTACTGAGTACCGTGTCTTAACGATCAGTCCACTGCTGGATGAAAAATTGGAAAGTAAATAAATGTAATGAAGCAGTTAAAATAATCAAAGATCTTTAATATTTATGAAATTTTTACATCTAAGCACAATACGGCAGGTGAAAGTTACTTTTAAACAAATTTAAAATATCAATTGAATTGCTATGAAAACTAAGTTGTGTGTGTTATTTGTTGGAAAATAAAAAATAGGGTGCATAGCCAAATTATTCAACAAAAAATAAGCACCTTTTAAAAACTTTTCAAGCACTCAAAAAATATTTTTAAGCACTTGAAAAAATATCATGACTAGGCAGAGTTGGAAAGTTTTTGACAATTCACGGTTTTATCATTTTTTTACCGTCATGTCAAAAAAAAGAAAACCTTTTGGCACTGTTTCTGACAATTGTCAAAAATCATGAAATTTCGAATCACGTAAAACAAATGGTGTTTTCATACGCTGCGGAGTGACAATACGCCGAAATAGATTGGGATTGAATTCATTGTGAAAACGTTGAATAGAATAATGTGTATTTTTGCATAATTCAAAGTGAAAATTAAGCTCTTTTTAAAAACACACAATGAAAGAAGTACCTTTAAGCACTTTTTAAAAATGCTACGCACCATAAAAAACAAATGTTCATTGTTTAAATTAATTACATCATTGCTAAAACAACTCATTGTTTGACAAAGCTCATTATGTGTTTTAAAATTTTAAATATATGATTCTAGTTCATTGTCAAAACAATCCTTGATTGATGAAAATATAGGTGTACTTATGTATGCTGACGATCTTGTTATTTGGACATTGGGCATCTAGCCCTAAAAGAAGAGCAAACGAGAGACTCGAAATTTCCCTAAATAACGCTATGTCCAGACTCCTTTCCAGGTGTTTAGAAAACAATATGATCGTCAACAAGGTGAAAACAACCTACCAAATCTTTTCATTATGTCACCAACCATTACAACTACATATATTGTATAACAATATAGCCCTACCGTATAGTGAGAGTATCAAGTACTTAGGAGTAATTTTCAATCGTAAACCCACTTGGAAATTATCTATTGATGATATCAAGCAACGGGTTGAGAAGCGTATGATACTCCTTAAACCCCTCGCACAACTCTACTTGATACCTATAAGACTTTTATGAAACCTGTCATGACTTACTGTAACGCTCCTTTTATTACAGTATCTGAGGGAGGTATAAATAGACTGGAACGACTGCAAAACAATGCACTTCGTCTTGTCACCGGTGCTGTCAAGACCACACCCATTGACGTACTTCTGTTAAATACCAATGAATTACCTATTCAATATGAAATAAAGAAATCAGCTTTGAAGCTCTATCAGAAACTAATTCGACTACCTCATAGCGTTATGTTGACCAAATTACANAAAATAAGCACTTTTTAAAAACTTTTCAAGCACTTTACAAAAATTTTCAAGCACTCAAAAAATTCATATTGAATCAATGATATTATTGAAAAACAAAAACTTTTTACGAACAGTTTTAGCATTAAAAAAAAAACCAAAAAGAAAAGAAACGGACGTAAATCGAAACAATCAGTACTTTCCCACATCACCGAGTGAATTCCACTTGACTCTGAACTCAGAACAAAAGCACCCTTACCCCCTACATCAAAAAAGTGTTAGAAGTAAAATAAATAAACAAGAATAAAATTAAAATAAATTTAAAAGAAAAACATTTAATAAGGATCTGACTCTATCCGAATTGGAGCTCTCGGGTTTCAGTTTCGAGTGTGCGCACATGCGCAAGTCATATCGTGGGTACGACATGAAGTCCGTGTGTCCATAACAAACATCCCATTTTTCGTGAAATGCAGTGGATCCGCCAGATATCACTGAAGGAGAGAAAAAAATTATTTGTGAAAAAAAAAGCACTTTTTAAAAACGCCAGCTGAAAAAAGCACNATAAATTTTATGTATTAATTAAATTTCACATATGAATATAGGTTTTTGACATTTTCGACATTTTTGACCATGAGGTTTTTGACGTGACGGTTTAAACCATGGTTTAAACTGTCAAAAACTGTCACATGTCAAAAACCTGCCAACCCTGGTTCATTGTGAAATGTAGATCTTTAATGACAGAGATAGGTGAAAAATATAAAACAATTGCCTTACAATGGATTCCATTCCACAGTGGTAACCCCGGCAATGCACTAGCCAAAAAGTTGCATTGTTAATCCAGCCCCAAATAACTTGGTTAGCTATAAATCCACTTTGTTAAAGATTAATCATGCAATTAAGACAACACATATATCATTGCTAAAAGAACGGACAAAAGTGGGGAAATGACATCCTTAATCTCCCCGATTGCCCAAGAAGCAGTGCTGTAGCTGCTTTTCGTCTTGCTACCAAGCACGATTGCTTATACGCCCATCTTTTCTGTCTTAAAATAGTGGATAATCCTGCCCGCCCCCTCTGCTGCAGTGGCGCGACGATGAATACTGAACATCTTCTCAACTGTTCAGTTCTCACAAAGAACTGCATCTACTCCCGATACTAGGAGGCCAGAGAACTTTTGTTCAATTTAAGTTCTTGATTTAATTTTCGTGTTTGATGTTTTGCTTTTGTATATTTCATATCTTTCTGTACTTGTATTTCTCTTTTCTTTTGATCTGTGTACGGCGTTAGGATAATGTCTATATCGCCTGCTGCATTGGAAATAAAAATTTAAAAAAAAAAAAGTTCATTGTCAATGATATTAATTAAGAGTGCTGAAACACAATTGAAACTTTGATAATTGATAAAGGCATGAGAATAAATTAAAATTTTGAATCAAAGTTTGAAGCATATTGAAGGTTAACATAACAGTGATAAGGTAACAGAGTTAACATGACAGTAATAAAATAACAGTGGTAAGAAATTTTGTTTGTACAAAGATGGTCTCAAATCAAGTACAGTACAGAACCCGTTATCCGGAAATCAGAAAACCGGAACGAAATTCGATAAATTTTCCCGCCATTTTTTAAACAAAATTTTTTTTTCTTATAAGATTTTAGGATTTTTCTTTCTTTTTTGAAAGATGTTCACCTTACCATCATTTTGGAAATAATCATTAGTGTATTACTTCATCGTTTTTTCTTCTTTTCAAGATTATTTCCTAAAAAAAAATTTTTTTTAGTTGGGTTTAACAATAAAAAAACGGCTTTTTGTAGCGATTCAGAAAACCGGAAAAATCAGTTATCCGGAATAGTGATGGTCCCGATCGTTCCGGATAATCGGTTCCCTACTGTATAAAGCATTTCACTTATTACAATAATAAATACCACATAAACAAAAGTTACAAATAAGGTTGTACTCTGATATGATCCAAATTTGTTTTTTAAAAAAAAATTTATTATCCCCAAAGTGATTAAAGTGTGTAATTGTATTTTATTTTATTTCATAATCGTCGTTGAACAGCCACCCAATTTAGGGTTTACGATGACTAATCTTCTTGCAGCCCGATAATTTTGAACCCAATTCAGAAGACAAGGTAACTCCTGGATCAAGTATCGGGTGAAATTTGCTTTCGTGGAGGACTTTTTAATGGAATTAACAAACATTTGTGTTATATGGAGAGGAAAACGACGAAAACCTCCCACGGTTTGTCAGGCTGTGAGGGGACTCTAACCCATGAGTCAGTCTATCACTGAGGATATTTTACGTCAGCATCAGCAGTGTGGTTGGTTTAAATAAATCTGAATTATTATGTCCAATTATCAGTGTTAAGCCTGATTATGAGTTTCTCAGGTCAGGGGTCTGTCTGGGTTTTTCTGAGAGGTACCTATTTTGTGAAAATTTAGACATAATTTGTGAAAATTAAAAATTATATTCAAAGATCAACACAAAAATATGGTAAAAATAGGAATTTATCGTTTTTTAAGGGATACAAAAATAATATTTTACGAAGTATTTTGTGAAACTACAGTTTTTCTTAAAGTTAAATTTGTGAAGGTGCCGCTAAACGGTAATAAATTTGGCCTTGACAGACCCCTGCAGGTATACCCTTTTTTACTTTTGGACAGGAAAAATCACAGTTGTTAATTTTCACATGGTCGTGGATGGATCATTTATATGATATCTCATGTCCCTGAAGAAATAAAAAAAAATTATAAATAAGATATAATTACCTTGAACTGTTATAGGCTCTTCAACCCATCCTAAAGTATCACATATGTAGGTACCGGGAAAAATTATAATTTTATCTCCAGCAGAACTGGATTTAAAAGCAGTTTCAGGATTATGTTCGAATTCCAGAATCCCATTAGAATCAACAGATAAATTCTAAAAAGAATAGAACACCCTTCATATACAGTGACAATATTCAGAATAGCAGATGCAAATCTTATTATAACGAGCTTGTTGTTAAACACATATGCAACAAAGTTCTCACTCAATTAAAAAAAAAAATTCTTCAAGGGCTTGCTTAGTAATAGAATCAGGAATATATATAGTTTATAATTAGTAATACAGTTTATAATTAGTATAGCCAAATCCTTCAACAAAAAATAAGCACCTTTTAAGCTTTTAAAAAATATTTTTAAACACTATATGGGTCATTCTCACAAAAACAGTCATTTTTACGTTCCCAGTATACTTGTCTATGACCTATGAATATCTTTTTCTCAGGGAAAGTGTCTTTCAGAATGCAGAATAACAAAAAAAAAAAATATATACATATATATATTTATTATATAATAATTATATACCATTATATCATTCCCTCACTAGTCCCCACTGCTGACTTGAAAAAAAAAAATTGTTTCTAAAAAATAATAAATAAGTTAACTAATTGGTATATTTTATTTTAGAATATTGAAATACACAATTCAAAAAATCAATTTTAAATTTTATTTCTGATAAAAATATTACTACAGCACTTTGTCTATTGCATCACTCCTGTACAACAATATGTTTACCACCCACAATGACAACATAATAAAAATATTTTAATAAAAACTTAAGTAGTTTACATGACATTATCATTGCAGTATGTTTTCATCTTTTACTTGGCTGTGTAACAAATTTGAATGCATCAAACCAGGTAAAATTTGCTGCATTTATCATGTGGTCCCTTTTTAAAGTAAAATAGAATATAATGTTAAAAAAAAAGGATAATTATAGGTTGCTTTCGTGTACAAATATATTTGTAAGTGATTGATTTCAGAAATCAATTTGGCCTAACTGTTATTTTGAAATTTCATTAAATTTTTCATTCCGTCACTAATGTATAAAATGAGGGAATGATTCTAAAGCATTAATTATTCAAAAGATGAGTATATTGTTCAAAATCTAATTATTTTTTTGCTTCTTCGATTTCACTCGTATTTTCATTAAAAATTACAGAAGTCAAACTACTTTAGAAAATATTTTTGAATGAATTGAATTAGCCTGATTAGCTTCTTTAAAAATTAAATTCTGCAAAGAAAAGAGAATATGATCGAAAAAGGTCAAAAAAGAAAGGAATGAATACAAATCCAGAATATTCCTTATTTTTAAAAAAGAAAGATCGGATTATGTACCCAGGGGTCTGGCTATGTTTTTCTGAGAGGTACCTAACTTGTTAAAATTTAGACATAATTTGTGAAAATTAAAAAATCAACACAAAATATGGTAAAAATATGGATTTATCGTTTCTTATGGGATGCAAAAATAAAATTTTAAGAAAAGTATTTTGTGAAACTACTGCTAAACGGTAATAAATTTGGCCTGGACAGCCCCCTTGTACCTGAAAAAAAGTTAAAGGGGGCCAGTGAAACCTGCCTCCCAGATGACTAGTCGTAGTTTGAGGATGAAAAGGAAATAATGGAAGAAAAACTCTTGTAACTACAGGTTGAAAATACAAGCTTTAATAGAATCAGATAAAAATGTTAATGAACTATCATTGAATGACAATTTTCCAGGACCTTCAAGTAAGCAAATCACATTAAAAATTTCTTTGCATACATAATGTTTTGAATTTTAGAAAAGTTCATTTGAAAATGATAGGCGTAAAAAATTGAGCAAAATTGAAAAGATACTTGATGTACTTGTTCAAAAAACTAGAGTTTGTTATAAAAAGTGATTTTATAGAATTAAAAACTAAGATCCAAAGCAATAACACCAAGAAGTCATCTAAAGAAATTTCAGGGCAAGGAAAGTATATCATTATCGGCATGCAAGCTGTTGGTTTTTGGTGTAGTACTATGTTTGTAAGTATGAACTAATTTTAAAATTTTAGCCAAGACTCACAAAGAAAAAGTTATTTAACAGAACTTACAGTGGAAAAGTTTTTAAACAGTACAGAGCATTTTGTTTCTTAAAGTGATTTCTGAAATGTAGAATACATAAAGAATTAGTCAAATGATAATTTTAAAAAAAATTATGTAACTAATGAAACTTCAAAAAACATAGTTTTTTTTCTTTAATCTGATGAATCCAGAATGTGCTCAGGTAAAAAGGAATGTGAAAAAAAAAAGATAAAGGAACTAAAAAAAGCGCTGCCTTGATACACTAAAAAATCTACATAAAAAAATATTTATATGAAAACCCAAATTGTTGCATTAGTTATCCTAATTTTTGTAGAATGCACATGCTTCCCATAAAATAACCAACAATTAAAGATGTGTCGATGCATAGTACATGCTAATTGGATGATGGTTATCTCTAAACTTCATGAGATTAATATTACTGACTTTAAGTCATCCGTGTGCAATAACTTGTGTTTTCAACTGTGAAGACTGTTTGTTTAGGAAATACCCTAATTGTAAAGATTAAATGCTGATTTATAAACAGTATGATGATAAGGAACTATTTAAGCACAAAAAGTGGGTATTAGAGAAAGAAAAAAAAAAGACATATAATGTTAAAAACCAAGGAAAGATTTCTAATAAACCAATAAAGATAAAATAAGAAATTAGAGCTTCCAATTTAATTAAAGAGCTAGAGGTGACTTACCAAAATATATGGTACATGTTGCAAATTTGTAGAAAACAGTAAATGAACTGAAAAAACAATTATCAATAGATTTAATAATAGTACATATTTGTTTTAGCGAAAATTAAAGTTGCAAATATAAGGAAGAGATTCAGTCTGTTCGTTTTGGAAAGTGTTGGCAACAGGTAACTGGCACAGGAGTCTTTTTTTAATTATTTTTTATGACCGTCGTTGAGCGGCCGACCCAATTTTGGGTTTACGACTGCTAATGTTAAACTCTGTAGCCTTGTCATTTTTTAACCCAATCCAGAAGACAAGAAAACTCCCGGATCAGTACTCCTAGAGGTATTGATATGTTATAGGAACATGGAGGACTTTGAGACTCGACAGATTTAACGTGCATTGGTTACCATTTACTACACGGGAAGTCTTAGGCTGGCGGGGATTAAACCCATGAACTCTTGGACATGGGCCCAGTGCCCTACCAACCCGGCAATGGTGATAAAGTAGTTCCCAACTCTTTTAGCTGCAATAAGTTCTTCCCTTTGACATTATGCAACAGTAATATGGGCACATATCAACCCAATGAAGTGGATTTTGAGTAAGAATGAAGTAGAACATGTTTTCATGTCTGCAGTGATGGGCCGTCAGTCCCATATAGACACAAAGAAATGTTTCATTTGATATTACAACATGTAAAACAGCTTGCTACTGGTTTTCTAAGCTTGACTTGGAACTATAATGAATACACAGACATGGAAAAAGGACGAAATAAGGAGTTATTACGAAATGAACAGCGGATCAGAAAGTGGCAGAAAGAAAGATGTGCATAAGTATGAGACACTTGTTCCTGTATTAGACAAAAATTGCCTGGGAGTAACTTTTTTTAAAGTTATAAATGAAGATATTAAAAAAAATTATAATAATAATAAATCAATAGAATGATACATAAAACCATTCATCAGCACTATCCATGTTGACCAAACTGCATATAGTTCTAAAAATAATATATTCAATTTTCATTGTCTCTCTCATTTTTTGCAAGTGATGCATCAATTTCGTGTAAACATTATAATTTAGAAACAGCATATCAGTCTCCACTCCATTATGTACTAGCACCAAGATACAGAAAAAATAGGAGATTGGGTGGTAGTCGAGAGTGATAAAATTTTATATCCCGGCGAAGTGAAGATGATGCATTCAAAAAATGTAACGGTTCCAAGTGTAGGAAAATATAAATGATCATTTCCTAGACATACATAGCTATTTAAAAACAAACATCAGAAAAAGAATCCTATCACGCGTGAAAATCATTCCAGCCAATTCTATTCTCATAACCTATAAAAACTATTATAGTTATAAAACAAAATTACAATATACATTAAATATGCTTAGTATGCTTTAACTTGTTGAAGAAACACATGTATTCAAATAAAACATCATTCCCTCATTTTAAAAATTATCAAATTAATTAATCATACAGGATTTTACAAAAATGGCACCCACCATCTCAGATTATGATGAAAATTTGTACACTTATAGAATTTTTTGTGCTGATTTCAAAAATATCAATTATATTTAAATCGGTTAATGGGTTTAAAAGTTATAAGCATTTATATTTTTGCCAAAATGGCACATTTGCCTCCATTTTCATTCATACATCAAAGGCTATTAATGATTGTAACTTACCTTATATTTGTCATAGAGCAATAATTTTTTTTTATTATTTTGTTCAGAATAAAGGCATCTGACATTTAAACCCTTTTTTTTGCAAATAAGTATCTCACTTATTTAGTAAATGGGTCTGTTTTGCAGTTTTTTGATCAACAGAGTTGAGTAACTTCAGGAGATGATTTCTGGCAACTCGCCCCCTTCAATTTCAAAAATATTTTATTCAAAGATAGTTGAAAGTGCAAACTAAAATCTGATATAAAAATTTTGATGGGCGATTCACTCACTTTTTGAAAAAATTTTTTTTCTTATGAATCATTATGCAATAAAAGTACTGGTAGTTTGATGATTTATAGTCCTTAATTATAACTAGAGTATAATGAAATGATATAAAAAAATGTGATTGGTAGAAAAATATGTAAAAAAACATTTATTAAATTATTTCTTTCTTCTTTCCTTGAGCCCTCTCCCCCCCCCCTCAAAAAATAACAGAAAAAATTTGAGAATGAACAAAATTTCACCTTTTTACTAAATAAATTTATCCAGAATCATATAGCTTTGGTAAATGAGAGGGATCAGAATTTCAAAAAACATAAATAAAAGTTCCCTCTGAAAGAGTAGAGGGCAGTACCAAATAATAAAAAACAGCCATTAATTTTTTTTATTTTTAATTGAACTAACTTTGATCTTTATGGAAGGAGAAAATCAGAATTTTATGATGTTGAATAATATCAGAGAGAAAATCATTGTACACTTTAATTTAATTCAAACATTTTGTTTCATTCTAAAATGTAATTGAAGACCAAATTATAAATATTTATAGTTAATTTTATCCTTTTATTTGTCACAATGATTGTTATGGTAATGATATACTCCTAAAAATTTTCATTTGAAACACTCATAAAGTTAAACTATTTATTTTATTATATTGAAATGAAATGATTTTACATCACCAACTATCAAATAATTTGTATGCTCTTATTTCATCGCTAACACCTGTGGGCCTTTTTCATTCTGTAAGACTTTTATATTATAATTATATACATCCAATTTTCTTTTAAAAAACTTCTGAATAGAAAAAAAAATACTGAAAACTATTGACACATTCCATCCCCACTTTCCCAAAAAAGAAATCTGACTAATCAGACTGTATCATCTGCCAGAAAATTTCTGTTTGTTCCAATAAGAATTGAGTGTCATGTGAAATGTATTTTCTTTTCAATCAATAAAATTGTATTTCCATTCATTTAGAACAGAATAGAAATAAATAAGTTTTCAAAAGTTTTAAATATATCAATTTGATATTTAAAAAAAGAGTTTTATTATGAAAACCCCAAGTATTATGTAGTATTGGATTAACTTCGAAAGATTTTAAGTGCGGTTTAAACTCACAGAAGATTTTAGAACTTTCTTCTTAGAATATAGAACTTATTTCATTTAGGAGCAATTTAGATTTTAAGGAAAGTTCAACTATATGCTCAGGGTACGTGATTTTTTTAAAAAAAAAATCAAAAAAATCAAAAATAAATCAGATTTTTTTGATTTTTTTTCAAATACACTGTAGGAACTTTAATTTATGATTAAAAAAACTTTATAAATGTTTAATCAAAATTAAATTAATGTTAAAACTATATAATAACAATATTTTAAAAGCTCTAACTTACTAAAATAATTTTAAATAATTTTTCATTGTAATACATAGCTTTGAATGCACAGCAACCATTTTGAAACAAATGCATGATTGAAATTTAAAGACTAGATGAAATATTGAATTTAAAGAATGCTTCAGGGATATGTCTGGGTTTTTCTGAGAGGTACCTATTTTGTTTATATTGTTTGTTGTAGACATAATTTGTGAAAATTAAAAATTATATTACAAAATCAGCACAAATATGGTAAAAATATGAATTGTTTCTTACGAAACACAAAAATAAAATTTTAAGAAAGAAGTATTTTGTGAAATTATTCTACCATTTTTTTCCAAAGTTAAATTTGTGAAGGTACAGCTAAATAGTAGTAAATTTGGCTTGGACAGACTCCTGTACTTTAACTACTAAAAAAAAGTTTCAATTAGCAAACCATTTTTAATTTAAAATTGTGATTTCTTTTCTTTTTCTCTTGATTTTTAAAATGACAAAATAAATGTAACAGATTGTGTTTATAAATGTAGTCATTCATCAAAAAATAAATTAATATTTAATCTATATATTTTTATATTAAAATATTCATTTTCAATTCTATATTAAAATAGATAGCTAAAATGTTTTTTTTTAAAAAATCTATGTACTCATCTGAATTTTTTTTCCACAAAATTTCTTTATCGAAAATCAGATAATGGCAAAGATACTGTAAACATATTATGAGTAAAAAATACCGGTTAATAATCCTATTGCTTCAAATAAACTTTGAAAGAGTTTGAAAAGGAAGAATGACACTATATCAGGAAAAAAAATATCTGAATTCAGTAAGAGATATATATATCTATAAAAAAAATTGTGACTTATTTAATTCTCCTTCCAATAAGACCAAGAAAGTCTCCCTTCATGTCATAAGTGTAGATCAGGCTAAAACATACAGAGCTAAATTGCAAATTTCAGCAGTTCCTGGCCAGAAATTGTGTTTGCCTTGTTCATTCTCAATTTTGTTCCTTTCTTCTTTTCTTTTTTGAGGGGGCGGGGGGGGGGGNGGGGGGGGGGGGGGGGGGGTGAGGGCTCGAAGAAAGAAAAAAAAATTTAATGATTACTTTATTTTACATATTCTTCTACCATACACATTTTCTTTACATCATTTTATTATACTCTAGTTATAATAAAGGACTATAAATTATCAAACTACCAGTACTTTTAATGCATAATGATTCATAAGAAAAATATATATTTTTTTTCAAAAAGTGAGTGAACCGCCCATCAAAATTTTTATATCAGATTTTAGTTTGCACTTTCAACTATCTTNTGCACTTTCAACTATCTTTGCCTAAAATATTTTTGAAATTGAAGGGGGCGAGTTGCCAGAAATCAGCTCCTGAAGTTACTCAACTCCGTTGATCAAAAAACTGCAAAACAGACCCATTTACTAAATAAGTAAGATAATTATTTGAAAACAAATCTGTGTAAATGACAGATTATTTTATTATGAACAAAATTAAAAAAAATTATTGCTCTATGACAAATATAAGGTGAGTTACAATCATTAATAGCCTTTGATGTATGAATCAAAATGGCGGCAAATGTGCCATTTTGGCAAAAATATAAATGGTTATAACTTTTAAACCCATTAACCGATTTGAATATAATTGATATTTTTGAAATCAGCACAAAAAATTCTATAAGTGTACAAATTTTCATCAAAATCTGAGATGGTGGGTGCCATGGCTGGATGAATTGTGACATGGAATGACCCCATTACATATGTCTACTAATATAAAAAGTTTAAAATCTTTTCATTCACTTTACTTTTTTGGGCATTTTTGAACCAAAAATAACAGTTTTCAAAAGAATGACCCATATACATTAAAAAAATGCAAAATAAATTTCAAAGACTTTACGTGATCATGATAAAATAGCTTAGTTTCTGACATAGAACTCTTTTCTTTATTCTGACATAGAACTCTCTTACCTCTTTCTCTCGGTTCGATGTCAGAGGGTGGAAAATGAAGCCTGAAATTGAGAATATGTTGCAAAATGCAGCAGAGTTGCACATGAGAGTGCAAGAATCTTTCAGAACCCAACACAAGTATTTCATTAAACATGTAAAATGAATGGCGCTTTCATACGCTATGGACCAACGGTAAGTAGAAATGCCTTGTGTTTGAATTAATTGTGAAAACGTTGAATAGAGCAATGTGAAAAGCACACTTTTGCAGAATACATGGCGAAAATCGACGTGATAAAGAAAAAAATTTAATTTTTGAAAAGTAAAAATTAAGCACTTTTCACAAACACCCAATTAAAAGAAACACCTTTAAAGGCTTACAAAAAACAAAAATAAGCACCTTTAAAAATTGCTATGCACCATGTGGAGTAAGTCATAAAGTTTCAAATGCTGGTAATAAATTTTTAAAACATCAAAATAAAACATGAGAAGATAATTTAGGATAATTACAATAATTTGTTTGCATATTGATATTTAGAAATTTTTTATCAGTGATGGAAGCTTCATGACTTACTCTATATTTGTCTGAATTCAGCTTTTCTTCACTTTAAACTAGAATGAGAATTTGTGATGAAAAGTTTCCCTCGCGGTATGGCACACTTTTCAGGGATATTTCTCAAAAAGAGAGAGCCTTTTAAAAATATGAATTTTAGTCTCTGACTTACTTGAATCATATCAAGTGTAAATTGCTTAGCAACAATATAAGTAACTGGTTTTTGAACGCCGCTGTTGTATCTTCGTTTAATGAGTTTCCCTGGGGTGTATTTCTTTTTTACATAAGACCTGAAAAGAAAAAGTTTGGTAAAAAACTGAAAATAGAAATTCAAAAACGTTGCACGTGAAACAAATTTCGAATAATAGAAAAAATTTCCAAAATTTGAGCAAAAAGTGCATGTAAGAAGGCATACATGCGTAAAACATTATCAATATTTTAATAAAAAAATAATAAAAATGTCGAATTATAAACAACGTTGAATAAAAATCAAATAAAAGTATTTTTTTAATTTTGTGTGCATTCTGATCTTGATGTGAGATCTTTAAATTGTGTGAATACGAATTCCAATGTAAGATTCTTTAAGTCGCTTGAATAGATTGAAAGAAGGTTTGTAAATCGTGACAATAGGAATCCTGATGTGTAATTTTTAATCGCATGAATATTTGATTGAGATATGATTTTCAAATCCAGTAAATGAACTTTTGAATCGCGTTTACATAGGTATGAAAATGAATTTTAAAAAAACTAATTTTGGTTTGAGAAGTTTGAAAAAAGGGACATTTTTCTTAATGAAAAGCAGACTTAAAAAACAAAGAAGCAGAATTCTGCTAAAAATCTGAAAAACTTATCCTTAACAAAATAAATAAAACTCTTTTCAGATAAATAATTAACACATTAAAAAAAGAAACAGGCTCTGCTTATGTTGGTCAGCTTGAAAAAAAAAGTTTACTTACAACATTCTTTCATAATAGTGACATTAAACTCATTTCATAAATTAAGAGTCTATAAAATAATAATAATCATAAATTAATAATAATCTTGCTTGACAGGAAAAACATTTTTCTTGTTTTATGTAAGAATATTTAAGTAGTTTTTATTCCAGGAAACCTTTTTGCTAAAATCCATAACCTTTAGAAGCCTTCAGGAAATTGTGATTCAGTATTTTTGAATTACTATCCTCAAAATAGCAGTGTCTCCCTGCACAATTAAAAAAAAAAATTCTGTTAAGAAACTGCAGGATAAACATTGTCTCCAAAAGACTGAGAAGAATAAAAATTCTAAAAGACCAATATTGATTAAGTGCAGAAAATTTATACGAAGAGTATTGTTCATTTTCACATTACTTGAAAACAAACTGCGATAGTTGGTTCTTTAATACGTGTGAATACAGGGCATTATGTTTGGCTTTAAAATGTGAATATGAATCATGATATTTGATTCTCAAATCATATGAATGGTCAATTTTAAAAGCCTGATAACGAATTGCGATGTTCAAATCTAAGGAATATGATTCACATTTAGTGTGTTCTCCGTTTGAAAAGATCAAAAGGTTTCACACAAGCATTTTCATTCATTCTTAGCAAAGATAAAGGAAAGTGACTGGAAAATGATCAATTCCTTACTAGCAATACAGTTTAACAATATTTTTAGACATTAATGAACAGGGTTGCAACTCATTTCTACAAGAAGAAAAAAATTCCCTGTATATATTATACACAATATATTAAGAGGAACACAACAATTACCTACTGTGTTCTTGTGTGAGTTATATTGGACTAACTATATGTATTAGTTTTAATTGGTGGAAAAACAGTTGAGCATACTTAAATAATGCTATAGTAAATGAAATAGTTTAGCATAGCGGAAATATCGTGCTTAAATATTCTATAGATTAGGCTTTGAGTGGTCACCATTTTTTAAAAGACGAATTGAAGAAACAAAATTCCCTGTATTTTCTCAGTTCAGAAAAAAAATCAAAATTATCTGCATTTTCCCTGTTTGTAGGTGATTTTTAAATTCCCTGTATTTCCCAGATTTTAACCCGTGGAGTGGCAACTATGAAGTGGATTTTAAAAAGGGTGGTAAGAAGCATATTTTTTGGAATTTAAAGTAGAAATAGGTTTTGTCCTTTTAAAAATTAAGAAAGAGTGGAGTTTGGTTTTGAAAAAATCATTTCAAGACATAAATGCCGTGGTGATTGTGAGCCCAACTCAAAAACCCTGAAAATGTCTTGAGTAAAATCATTAATGACGCATTTCAAAAAATAATCTTTATCAATTTAAATCTTTATTATTTCCAAATCATGGTATTCAAAATAAATTATATGCAGCATAATTTAAATAAATAATCATGTATAACTTTACTTTTATCTCTAATCACATTTATTATTCTACCAGAAAAAATATTCGAAAATGAAAGAGATGCCAAGTATAAATTCTAGTTCTAATATTATTAAATAAAATATACAATAATTTTTATATACATAAATGTGATCAATGATTTCTTGAAACTTCTGGACATTGGATTTCCGAATTGAGGTCCACTTTGGCAGAATGGTTTACCCATAAAAGATTCACCGGGGAATGAAAAAATATCCGTAATGAGAGGTATCCATTTTGCAAGAGTATTCATCACATGGGATTTCACTGTACTACAAATCATACATTCAGGGGTGAGATTGGCCAAAAGGCAAAAAAGCTGAATTTCCACACGAGTAAATTTTATTTGCATGCAATCGTTTAATAATTAATTCCAGACAATTTAAGATAATAAATAACTGTAGCGTATCTACCACTACAAAAGTACAACTACAATTCACAAGTATATAAGACATGTTAACTCGACTCTATGTCGGGGTACCTTTTCATAGATGACGGTTGACATGGTCTGTAACTACTCTCCCCACATAACTATGTGATGACATAAAATTGTGTACTAATCTATTAATATATGAATGATTACATCGATACTTAGAGTAAAATTACCAATTGAAAAAATAAAGCTAGAAATTATATTTTTCTTCAGTTCACATAAAGGAGAAAATTAATACTTGAGAAACTGCCTAGTTTAGCAAATTAAAGCTACTGAGAACATTCCCTTTCTTTTAATACTGTTACATGATTTATAACAAATATATCAGTAACATGACTTTTTAAATTATTTAGAAAAGAAAAGAAACTTTTACAATTAGAATCACTATGCTCATATTATAATCTAATCTAGCTAGAGCTCTGTGAAACATGTCAATAACTGTGACGTAGAATCATTTATTAAACTCCTTAACATACGAAAATTGCTATTTTAGTTTGAAAAATTATATGATAATCAGCAACTGTNAGCTGTTTAGAAAATTATTTTTCATCTGATAAGAATTTTGCATTTTATAGCATAAATAACAGCAGCATTATTTTTTAAATTTTGGTGCTGAGTTTATCAACTCCTTTTCCAAAAAAATTTGAATCACTTTTATGCAGCTTGTGAATGAATGAGGGGAAACAGATAGGTGATTGATTTAGTCGTTAGCTTATCTTCAAACATATTTTGACAAATCCTATTTTTTCTTTCTTTACCTGCTTGTGTCACATTCTTATTTGCAAGCACAGAATGTAAGTTTTGAATATGCCTATATATACTAATAATTGTTGATAGAAAAACAGTCACATTTATAGTAACTAATTAAAGAAAAACTTACTTCTTACAAGAATCGCGATAATTTATTTTAAAAGCGCGTGAATACAAATAGCAATCTTAGATTTTAAAATTGAGTGAATATGAATCACGACAATGGATTTTTAGATCACGTGAATAGGAAATTCGATTCTAAAAATGAGAAAATACAAATTGCGTTAAAGAATTTTTAAATTGCGTAAATAAAAACCACAATTTATAATTTTTAGATCATGTAAATACTAATCACGATGCATAATTTTTAGATAGCGTGAATGAGAATCCCAATGTCCTATACTAAAATCCCGTATAAATATGAAAATCGATGTTTGATAATAAAATCACGTGAATAAGAATCGTAATGTTAGCAGATTCCCGGCTGGGGACGTCTAAAAGGCTTGTTTTAAGCAGCAACATCTTAATTATTAAAATACGAGTTATCTAGCGGTTGGGTAAAAATGCATAAAATCTTATATTTTGAGCGTAAAAGCGAAGAAAATAGCTAAAATAAGTAAAAATGCGGAAGGCAATGTAGTTTCAACTATCTCTTTATCTTTGAAAATCGGAAATAAATATAATTTTTTTTCAGCTGAATTTTCTGCAAAAGCGGAATATTTATTTTAAAAAAAAGTTAAACTTTTAAATAATTGGAGTTTTTGATAAAAAGGCTGAAATTCGAGAGACAAAAGTGAAAAAAGCGGAAATCTGCTAAAAAGCGGAAAAATCTCATCCCTGTACATTGAATTAATTTTAAATTAAATTACTTTTCAATCCTACTCTTAAAAAATATGAAACACAGATAACATGAAATTTTCTTTTTTTCTTTAAAAAATATATAAATAAATGTGAAAAACTTTTTTAACTTTCCGGCACTATATTAAATTTAATTTGTTTAAACATAAATTATTGTTATAATATTTATTTCTGAAAAATTTTATTGGTCATATTTAGTTTTTTTCACTTTGTGCAGTTTTTTTTTGTGGATTTTTTCCCCATTACTCCCAATCCTGTTTTAAATATTACAGTCCTTGGCCATATTATTAGATACACTGTAAGATTCTAAGTAAAATTATAATTATCTAGTGATACCACACAGATTTATTGTTTTTACTCGGATGATACCAGTTTGCATTTGTTTACGCTCCTGTATCAATGGGTTCAAAATTGTAATGCAATACGCTAAAAATAAATACAAATAGGAAGTAGATTAAAAATCTCCTTAATAAAAACCCATTATATGTATGTTTACATATAAAAGTATTGCCTATAAACTCGTGCAAAGCATGTCATTATTAAAAACTACAGTACATCTTTTAATTTGATCTAATTAGTATAATATTCTAATATAATGCTTGATATAATAAAGATTCTATAGTTATATAATATATCGTCTAATTTATCTTATCGTCTCATTTAACCCATTCATACACGAACGTAAACAAGTGCAAACTGGTTTCAGTCACATAAAAACAATAAAGCTGTATAGTATTACCTGATAAAGAAGATTTTACATAGAACCTTATAGTGCGTCGAATAAATTGGCCAATTACTGTAAATAGAAAAAGCTCTGATAAAATAGAAACACTTGCACTAATGTTTTAGAAAAAAGGATTCTGTAAACCTTAGCATACAATTTTGAGAATATTTACATTGAAAGGAGAAAGAATTACCTAATTACTGGATTCTCCAACATTTCCATTTTAGTTTGCAGTTCATTGAGTCTTTCTTTCAATTCAATTGTCCTCATAAAGTCTTCTTCATTGATTTCAGCTTCAGAATCACTCACATTCATTTCAGAATACATTAGGTTGATCTCTCTCTGCACTTTGGTTGCTTGCTTCAGAATCATTTTTATCTTGGATATCATGGGTTTGGGCAGAATGTTATTCTTCATGTCAAAGTAACTGTAAAAAATAGCAAACTTTTAGTTCACTTGTTATTACTCAAATAACTTTTAAAAAGGGTTATGTTATCATACCCTTAATACCACTCCTTTTTTTTTTTGACAGGGTATGTAGCCAAATCTTTCAACAAAAAATAAACACCTTAAAGTACTTTTTAAGCACTGTATAAATTAACAAACTGCAAAATAATTTTCAAAAACTTTACATGGTCATGATAAAATAAACCGATTTCTGACAAGGAACTCTTTTCTTGATTAAAATGAGTCATTATAAAATAAGCGAGAGATTTTTGGCGCAATATCAGAGGGTGGAAAATGAAGCTTGAAATTGAGAATATCTAGAAAAATGCAGCAGAGTTGCACATGAGAGTGCAATAATCTCACCGAACCCAGGTTAATAGAGGCACACGCGAACTCGTAAGTATTTCATCAAACATGTAAAATGATTGGCTACAGTAGCTCACACGCTACAGATCGACATTATGCAGAATGAATTGCGAAAAAAAAAGAATAGAACAATGTGAAAAGCACGCTTTTGCATAATATGTGGCAAAAATCAACACGGTAAAGAAAAAAAAGTCTCACTTTTGCTAAGGGAAAATCAAGCACTTTTTAAAAACATCCAGTAAAAAAACCCACCTTTAGGGGCTTTTAAATAACGAAAATCAAAAATAAACACCTTTAATCACTTTTTAAAATTGCTATGCACCATGTAACTGTTATTATCTGCAAAAGGGACGCCATGCACATAATACCCCCCTTTCTTTAACATCTTCAATTACAATTACGAGGGAAAAATCAAAATTCCCTGTAGTCCAGTTTTTCCCTATGGAGTGGCAACCTTGAACGAGCATCCATTAACTCAAATGAATCAGGGGTGATTGTTAGCCCAAGTCAAAATTCCGGAAAATTTCTTGAGTTAAAAAAATAAAGTTTAAATTGAAAAAAATTAAAACAAGATTTTTCTTCCTTTTTCTCAATATTTCTTAGTTTGCTTAAAATATTTTTAAAATTTTACACGTACCTGTACCACTTACACATACCTAGATGACCTGGAGAAGTAATTAAAATTTACAAATGTGTCTTTCTTTCTTGAGTTTATGGTTATAACAACTATTTACTGGAAAAAAAAATGAATATTAACCATGAATATAAGCTTATAAAGTATATCTCTGGCTCTCCCTTACAAACAAATAAAATAAACTGTGTTTTTAAGTTCCACCTTTGAAAATTTGATTTCCGGAAACTTCTGTGATCAATAATTTTTTTAAACGCCTGGACCTTTGATCTCCGGAAACTTCCGGAGCACAATCAGCCCTGTTGAATGGTTTTGTATATGCGTTATAAACAGTGAACGGTTATTTTATTTGCATACATCAATCTATGTAAACTATACATCAAATTGAACCAAGTAATTTTTAGAATAATTGAAAAAAATCTGAAAAACTCTCATCATTTTGAACAACAGTGCGTTCTCCAGTAAAGAAAAGGAAGAAAAAAATCACAATATCTATTTTTAGAAAACATTTGATCATAAGACTTTTACAGACTTCCAAAACTTGCTGATGAGCTTTTCATTTTAGGAGTATTTCAAAATGTCTAAGAAAATAGACATAGCTTGAAATGAGTGTTTTAAAACATGGACATAGCTCAAAATGGGTTTAGTTACGAAAATGAGAATAGCTCAAAACGAATAAACCATTTAAAGAAAGGATCAAATCTCAAATTGAGTGTTTAAGAATATGGACGCAGCTCAAAACCTATAACTAAAAAAAAAAAAAAAAAATGGACATAGCACTTTTCAAGTAGTAAATGGTGACTGGTGCGTGTTAAATCTGTAGAGTCACGAAGTCCTCCATGCTCCCATAATAAATCATACCTCTAGGGTACTGATCCAGGAGTTTTTTTTGTCTTCTAGATTGGTGCAAAATTAGAAGGCTACGGAGTTGCCCGAAATTGGGTCGGCTGTTCGACGACTGTTATAAAATAATAATAAAAAAATATAAAGAATGCATGTATTTACCACAGTAATACTTTTCTTAATGCAAAAGAAATACTTGTTTTAACTCTTTATTGAAAATAAGTATACAGGTCAACCAATTTGCTTCGTAAAAGGAAAATAAAATGTTTAGAGGAGGTCAGGTGAAACAATTTATAGATTAGGAGGGATCAGCGACTTGCTGTACCTCCCTGGTGAGGGGAGAAAGTTACAGCAAGTTACTGCCAGAAAGAAAAAACTTAATTTCTTCTATAAGAAACAAATTCTTACCTTAATAATAGAATAGGGGTGCACAACCTGTGGCCGACTGTTCATATGTGGCCTGTGGGAACTTCTGAATGCAATAAAATTCTTTTCATATGGTTTTTGTTTAAAAATCACAAATTTTGCTTAATTAAAATATTTAATTCAAATTTATATTACTGTATAAAATGCATATTTTTTTGCACATTTGTTCTGTAAGCTTCTTTTCGGTTAGGATTTATACCCCTCCTCCCAATATTATATATATTTATTTAATAAATTAACTATTGCCAAAAATGGAAAGAGTTTTTTTTTCAAAAAAAGCCTCAGATTTTTCTTTTAGTTTTAAATAAATTCAACTAATTAAAAGTATTTAATTTTCCGCAAGAATGTTATTTAGTTTACTAATATACTACTAGTTAAAAATATTTACTAGTTAAACTACTACTACTAGTTCAAAATATCCGCAGTGGACTGATCGTTAAGACATGGTTCCCAGCAGATCACCGAAGTCAAGCATCACTGGCTACGGTCAGTGTGAGGGTGGGTGACCACTTGGATCAGTCTGCGTAGGGACCGAGGTTGTGCGGTATTGGTCCTCGTTAAACTGCGCTACCGGCTATCGCTTGGACGGCCATTTTCCCACTAATGTTTGTGATATATTTTAAATTTTTGCTGGAATACATCTGAAATTTTAATGGGTGTCATTAAAATTTAAGATCCATAACATTGTTAAACAGAAAACTTCAGCCCTCCCATTCCAAGCTATTCATAAAGACCTAATGCAGCAAAATGATCCACAATACAGCAACATAATGCACACGGTGGAATTGATGTTTTCTCTGTCTGGGATTACTGCAGTGGTTGAAAGGAGCTTTTCAGGAATGAACTTACAAAAAAAGCACATTACGTACGATCTTAAATAAGAAGCGTTAAAAGCAATTATGAATATCTACCTAAATGGAAAACCCCTTTAAATTTCTGTGCAGAAACCTATGTTAATCAAATTGGCTTGATTATGGAACTGGCAAACATATTTGATTCATTTAAAAAACGCAGTATCCTCGGATAAATTGATATTCCAGATAACTTGACCTTTGTCATTTAAATTATTTCATAAAAGAAATAAAAGGTTATTATAAGTAACCTAATATTTCTTTTATTACTGTATAATGTAATCCTAGTAACTACTAATTCATTGTGCAATTTATATAAATGTTTGCAATAAATAATAGAAAATTATATTTTCATTTATTTAGAAGCTACAGGTTAGTTTCAAAGGAGGACGGGTACACTGTTGGACAAGCCGTCCTCGGGGACGGGTAAAATTTTTGAGTTTTTTCGAGCCCTGTAAATTATCATATCTGCCGCCAACATGACTAAATATGCGGACTGCCCTTCGTTAATCTACCTGCTGTACAAGTAACCTTTCACTCAAAAAGGTTGTACACCCCTATAATAGAAATTATAAAAAAGTTGCACCTACTTAGAATAAATTATTACTATTGATAACAGAATGTCTCCTAAAGAAAAGAAAAAAAAGAAAAAAAAAGAACGACTGTTTGGCAGACATGCCTATGGGCTGAGAAGATTTATTAAATTTAGGTTTTTATCTAGAAAAACTAAGTTCTTAATTTATAAAACTCTTGCCAGGCCGGTCTTTACATATGCTTCTGAATCTTGGATAGTGACAAAATTGGAGGAAAATTGTATCACAATATTCCAGAGACAGATTTCACGGAGTATACTTGGTGGTGTAAATGAGGACAAAAACTGGAGAAGGAGATTTAACTTCGAACTGTACAAAATTTATAAAAACCTGATATTATTAAATGCATAAAAATAAATGTAAAGAATTGGGATGACCCACGTAATTCGAATGAGTGATAACAATACAATAAAAAAGATACTGCTTTTTAGAGCCACAGGAACAAGAAAACAGGGAGGGCCACGGCTGAGATGGTCTGATTTGGCGGAGTCTGATTTTCTTGCAATTTATAAAAAGAATTGGAAATCAATGATAAATCAGAAGTCCTTATGGAGAAATCATCAGAGGAAGGTATTGGCCCACATTGGGCTGTCTGGCCAACTTTGATAATGATAAAAAAAGTGGAAAAATATGAGACATCAGAAAAAAAGCAAAAAGCTTCACGAGAGAAGCAACTAACCACTCAACTTTCTAACCAGTTGATTAATCAATACAAAAACCTCAATTTGTTGTATTTGATTGATGATGGCAGATCTTAAGTTTAAAAGCTGCTGGGACTTCCCCAAATTTTCCTTCTTACTCTGATTGTAATGTCTACCTACAGTTGGATAAGGTAATTTAACTTTTACTTAAGTAGAGTTTGCGCTTTGTAAGGTGATATCATCAGCAAAGTCAATATTTTTAAAATTTAAAGCTTTATTTGACTAGTTTTTAGCGTTCCACTTTTCTGATACATATGATAGAAATTTTTCAGTACTGCTAAAAATATTTTTTAAAGTGCATTAATTATCACTACTTTTTAAAAAAATCACAGGATAAAAATCTGATTTTATTAGCAAATTTTAATAATTTGATTTAAATTATTTACACACGATTATTTAATGCTCTATTTTTTTTTCTAACAAAAACATTTGCTTCATTTATTGATCAGGGTTGCCACGCAAATCAGGTTAGAAATTTCCCTGATTTTTCCAGCAAAAATCTTAAAATTTCCAGGTTGGCGTGTTTTTCCCCCCTGCTAAAGTGTAGTATAGGTACAAGAAAAGTGTCG